AATATCACTGGGTTGTAGGCAACCAAGTTCTACTTAGAATAGACCTGCTAAAATTAATGGGTCTGAATTAATCGTGTCCATTAATTTCACTGGGTGGTATTCAGCTAAGTTTTACACAGTGTAGACCCATTGAAAGTAATTAGCATGACTAAGTTAGGACCATTAATTTCAGTATATCTATTCTGAATAAAATTTAAAAATCACCCAATTGGCCTACTCTGAATATGACTAACATTGGTTGCAGCTCACTGTTTCACAATTATATCTATGCAGAACTATACTTTGCCAAAATGATGGTCACTCCAACACTTCATTTTTTTCGTAGAAAAACCTCCATGATAGCTCATGACTGTTCGAATGAGTCGCATAAAAACAATGAGTCTCTGATGTGAATGTGTGTCACAACTACTGGCTCTATATGCAGCAGAATTCTAGGAATACCTGAGGAATTTGCTGTTTGGAATTGCAATATGAATTAACAACATGACCTGTACCTCCCAGACAAACATGTGGACTGGAACATACAGTACTATCCATTGGCTTTTGTGTGTCTTGAAATGCTACAATGCAGCTCTCTGTTCAAAGAAAGGTGGATTTAAATATGGATTTCCCCCCCTAAAATAAACAATTCATAGATGGATGTGAAAGTGAGATGGAATGGACAAATGCAAAAGGGACATGGATTGGGAATAGTCTGATCCACAGTGACTTGGCACAATTGGCTCATGCCCACACAGATGTCACCCAAAGATCCAGAATCATTTTTTTAATGTTTCCATTATGTTTAATCTACTCTATTCATTTCAATGCATGGGTAACATAATACAAATGGGATGCAGGAGACGTAAAACAATCTGTATCATTTGAGGAAAGAAAGTGTCAACAGCAAATACTGATCATATTTGCTGGACTGATTTCCATTCCGGACGTGGGACTAACGTTGACTTGTTTCTGTCAGGATTTTATTATCCTTACCCCCAGCACACACAGCTCTTGCGGCATAAAAAAGTGAGAGGACAACAAACTAATTTTTTCTTCTTCTGGCTTCTTGCTCTCTGTCCCCTGTGTCAGCCTTCTCAGGCTCTGGAAAACTCTCTCCCATTCACTGTAGAGGCCAAGCTATATTTAGGGCTTCCTGCAAAAGATTGAGATCTCTGGGGCCACCGAATGGTGACACCCACAGTCACTAACTCATTCTTTTTTAATCAGCAAAACAACAATACTACCATGATGTTGTTATAAACATTAAACAGGATGAAAAGTGAAAAATACAAGGAAAGGTGTGTGGCTCAGTGGTACAGCATCTATGTTTTGCATGCAGAAGGTTCCAGCTTCAATCTCCAGCATCTCCAGGTTCATCTGGAAGAGATCTGGAGAGTCACAGCCAGTCAATGCAGACAACTGAGCTAAGATGAACTTAGTATAAAGCAGCTCCCAAAGTTCCTGTGTGCTTCACACATTTTTAATTCTGTCGATGCAAAACATAAATAGACAATATTCAGACTATAAAATACTTGGTACATTTGAGAAAGCGTTCTTTTAATAGTCACACCAACCCTTCCCCAATCCCTGCAGCTTTCCTTTGAATTAGGCTGCTGCTACCAATATTATGTAGCAGCCAGCACAGCCTTAAGGCAGCATGGGAACTAGGGAGTTAAATGTTAGTTCTGGATAGCAAGCCAACGGGATGGGGGAGTGTAATCTGTGCGGCACAGCATAACAATGGGAAATGTGACTGCGTGCAGAACAGGTGGGAGGAGGCTTACAAGTGTGCACTGTTTGAGTTCCCAGTGTTGTGTGTGTGAGGGAGGGGTAAATTGAGTGGGTACTGAGAGAAATGTATTGGTATACTTTCACATTTCTAAACTTCGACCTGTGTCAAGCTGACTTCTCTTGTAGATTAACAACCGCTTGCAACTGTCAACTTTTCCATCACAGCCTTTTTGCAGCCTTCCACAGACCTTTTGACTGGGAGAGGTCCCATGTCAGTTACTTTGTTTGAGAATCAAATATTAACAAGGGGGCCTGCAGAGAAGCATTGTGCTGTGGAGTGCTTCTGTTCAGGATTAGAGCAAGCTGGCCAAGCCCTCTTTCAAAATACTCCATTTCATCCACCCCTTCCCTCCTAGTTTTCTGGTTTCCCTCCACCTCCAACATTCTGTGTCAGCATTCTGTGTCCATTGAACATGCTAAGTCATTGGTCTTTTTCAGGATTTCCCCTCCCTGACTCCATCTGCTCTACTACATGGCTTCCCCCCAAAGGAGCTTAGGAAATGTAGTTTGTTAAGGGTGCTGAGAGTTGTTAGGAGGCCCCTATTCCCTTCACAGACAGGGCTGGATTTAGATGAAGAGAGTCCCCCACAATCCCCCATCCTCATGACTAGAAGAAAATGGAAGTGTTCTAAAGTGTGTTCTCCCTCATGGAAAGCACAGGTTCACCTCACTGTTACTAGGCAAATGGTTTTGGCCATCCTTTAAGCAGGGGCGGGCTGTTACTGGGGAAATCTAGATGTTGCCATTTGTTGATTGACAGCCCTATTTGTTAAATACAATGCTCGCAGCGAGGAACTTCCTCTTTTCGCTGCTTACTTCGGATCACCCGCCCTCCCTTCCCTAATTTTAGGCTGTTTGCTTGACCTTGCTATGCCTGCCATGGGGTCGTTTGCTTTCGGGCAGGGGCCTGGTAGGAATTTTGTCCATTTGGCTGATTAGTCACTTGGTTTTTGCCTACTGCGTAGCAAATCGTCACAACTTGTAAGGTTTGCGGTTAGGCATTGGTCTTGGAATTGGTTGGTGGAGGAGTATGGATTCAGCTGTGCCTGCCCCTCCAAAATGCTGCTGGTGGTGGAGGGGTATGGATTCGGCTGTACCTGCCCCTCCAAAATGCTGCTGCTGCTGCTGCTTCAAGGGTTTTCCGTTAAAGGAACCCAGGGGCTCCCCATGCTTTTGTCCGAAACCTCCTGGCAAGGGGCTAGGGCCATGCAAGCCCCTGGGAGCATTCTGGGGAGAGGTGAGGCATGGTTCCCAGTCCCATCTCTCTCCCCAGGTGACTTACCCTTCCTGACTTTGCAGGGGGTGCAAATGTCAGAGCTGTCCCCGTGCGGGGGCAGTTAGTGCTCCCAATGCCTAAGCAACCACTCACATTGCTGTAATTTGAATAAAGTTGTGGCCGAAATTATGCCAAAAACCTTACACAAAAATTAAGTGTCAATTGTGTTTTTCTTTGGGGTGGGGGGTGTCTTGGGGACCTCTACACGCAAATAAAATTGAGTGAAGCAAAGGATGATGATGGGTATTTAAAATTCTGCAATTCTCAATTTCTCCTCTAAAGGACATAAGATGTTATTGTTAACTTAAATACCATGGTGATTTTTAAAAATGCATAGAATTAACACTGAAAAACTTTTGTAATTATGTTATCCTAAAAAAACACCTTGAGTTTACAAATTATATTGCCTGGGAAGTGTAAATAATATGATCATGATTACCTGACAGTGTGACACTTTTAGAATCTACTTTATGCTGTCATTAAAAAGTTATCGTTTTAAAATGGAAGTAAACTACAACCATCAAATACAGTAAGGCTAAAATGTTTTCTCCCTAGCCTTCCTCATAGCAAAATCACCCACAATTTCATCAAAATTTGTCTGTCTGTCACTTTCAATGTACAGAATGCTCATTGCGGACAACCTCTCTTGAGAATCACAAAGTTACGATTATCAGAATTGTTTAACAGTCACTTCCAGAGAATTCTGGGAACTGTAACTATGGTGGAAATAGGGATCTCCTAGCAACTCTCAGCACCCTTAGCAAACTTTGTAGATGTATAATCAGCCTTTTATAATGAATGATTTTAGAGTGTTGTTTATGCTGTACTTTTGTACTGTTTTATTGTTGTTAGCCGCCCTGAGCCCGGCTTCGGCTGGGGAGGGCGGGATATAAATAAAATTTATTATTATTATTATTATTATTATTATTATTATTATTATTAATTAATTAAAGCTTGTTACCTTGAAGCACTAGGACGCGGGTGGCGCTGTGGGTAAAAGCCTCAGCGCCTAGGGCTTGCCGATCGAAAGGTCGCGGTTCAAATCCCCGTGGCGGGGTGCGCTCCCGCTGCTTGGTCCCAGCGCCTGCCAACCTAGCAGTTCGAAAGCACCCCCGGGTGCAAGTAGATAAATAGGGACCGCTTACTGGCGGGAAGGTAAACGGCGTTTCCGTGTGCTGCGCTGGCTCGCCAGATGCAGCGATGTCACGCTGGCCACGTGACCCGGAAGTGTCTTCGGACAGCGCTGGCCCCCGGCCTCTTGAGTGAGATGGGCGCACAACCCTAGAGTCTGTCAAGACTGGCCCGTACGGGCAGGGGTACCTTTACCTTTACCTTTTTACCTTGAAGCACTATTCCTGAGAGGAGTATATTGGCCTCACTAATCCAGAGACGAGTAAGCTTGCACATACAGCACATATGCACCATCCTGCTGCATTGCATTAAGAGGATGGCATTAAGAAGTGCAGCAAAGAGCTGTCAATGCACTGTACATGCCCGTTCAGCAAGGAGGGAGCCAGTCTAGCTTATCAAGGAAGGGAGTTCCAAAGTCTGGGAGCAGAAACTGAGGTGGCTGCAGTTTCCTCTGTAAGATTTCCTGGGCTCCTTTGGGAGGAAGTGTTGCATATATTATTATTATTATTATTATTATTATTATTATTATTATTCATAATTGTTCTGTATCAGCTAGCAAGCTACCATGGACAGCTATAAAGAATTGAACGTGAAACTACATAGAGTTACTTCCCGCATGTTAATATAAAGAGTAGCTTTAATGTGCATGCAGATCACAGCCATAACCTCTTTGAACTTGTGAATTTCCTCACCCCCACCCTCCACGATGGTTTTAAAAGGTTGAAATCTACCCACAGTTTAAACACCTCAAATACGTATCATGTTCAAAGCTTCAGAGATAGCAAGTGCTCTGTATAATGTTTGCTTTCTTTAATTCCAGGTCACCAGAAAAAGAGATGGGTTCTACAGAGCGAGAAATTGTGGTCTGGGTTTGTCAGGAAGAGAAAATTGTTAGCGGATTGACAAAGCGCACAACTTGCACTCAAGTAATTGAAGCTCTGCTTGAGGAACATCAAGCCACCTACGCAGAAAAGAAGTTTCTTTTTGGACAGCCCAAGGATTACTGCATCATAGAAAAATGGAGAGGTTCTGAGAGGGTCCTTCCACCGCTCACTAAAATGCTGAGACTCTGGAAAGCCTGGGGGGAAGAGCAGCCTAATTTGCACTTTGTCTTGGTCAAGGCAGATGCCTTCCCCCCGTTTCCATTGTGGAGGACAGCTGAAGCCAAGCTCGTACCAAATCTTGAAAAACCCTGGGACCTGAGCCCGGCCAATTACATGAAGATGTTGCCAGTGGACAAGCAAAAGAGGATTGTTAGGAAAACCTTCCGGAAGCTGGCCAAACTTAAACAAGAAGGAGTCCTGCAAGAGAGGGACAACATAGAGACTCTCATCCACTTGATCCTTTCTCAGGACCACACCATTCACCAGCAAATCAACAGAATGAAGGAACTGGATCTAGAAATCGAACAGTGTGAAGCCAAATTTCACCTAGATCAGCTTGAAGGTGATGGAGGAAATTATGTGCAGGAGTCTTATTTAATGGCGACATCCAGTGATGCTGAAGAAGAAACAGACATGCCTCGCAGCAACCAGCAGATGCCAGAAAGCTCGGGCAAAGGAGAGGGGTTGTTACAAGTGGAAGAAGGACTAAAGCACCACAAAGAGCTTATTGAAAAGCTCTCTGCGGAAATTGAACGAGAGGTTAATGACATTGGAAGAAATGGAGACATGAGGACAGAGGAACCGCCTAAGGAGGAAATGGAGAGTTCCGATGTAGGAAGTGTCAAGAATGAACTGGAGAAAAGCATGAAAGATGCCTTAAGGATCCATTCTCAACTAAACTGCATCCAGCAGGAGTTAAAATATAGGGACCTGATGCTTCAAAAGAAGGAAAAGGAGTATGAACTGATTGTGGAAGAGCTTAATGCTTTGCATGCTAAGGCCAAAAGTGAAATCAGGCACCCACCCAATGAGGAGCAAGCAAAGGACAGTGAAATTTCCACCAAGAGTTTTACAGGGACTGATCTCCTTCACAAAGTGACTAGTCTAGACATAAATGATACAGACTCTGATACTGGAATCAGTTCCACTCACAGTCAGGACTCGGAAACAGCAATAGGGGAGACGTTGCTGTTGTCTACATAGCTAAAAACTGTCCTTGCTTTCCTGAGAACAAATTAGTAATATATAATGCCCTGGAGAAACATTAGGATGAGGTAGATAAGTGGTATCTTCTTATGGGGCCAAGTTCTGGTGGCATAAGAGCTTCCAAGTTAGAGAACTCCTTGTCATAAAAATAAAAATTATAGCTGATTTTCATATGTTCTAAACTCACTGATAGAAATAATTTAGTTTAGCAAAGTTCCTGTAGGACAGTTCAGAGGCATTTAATAATAATAAAAACCAAATAGACTTTGGTGGCGATGAACTGAAATCTTAATCTAAATCAGGAGAAGCAGCTACCCTATGGGTTATACAGTATACATTTGTACATCATCTGTTTGTACACCAGTTTTCCGTGAAGTATTGTTTCTCAGTATTTTACATAGAACCCACTGCCAATGCATTATAACATCTCTGGTGATGATAACCTTGCTCACTTGACCATATAAAAGACCAGTGTGGACATCACATTATACATGTTATAACCTTTGAAAGATCTTCCCTGCCCTGTGTGCAGAGCAAAGCTGACAAACGTAGGGTTAGGCCTAGCCATAGAAGGGGGAAGGGGAATTATTTGATGAACCATAAACTCCATATACAATATACCTGGGACTTTGTTATGCACAAAACAATATTTAGGAGTTTCCACAACTTTGAGTTGCAGTAGTTCCTTATGAGCACCTTTACCCATTGTTTGCTTCTGAAAAATTGGTCTTCCATCTCTCTGAAGCTGATGCACATTTTACAGATCAGCTGCTTCTTTCCTCCATATTATTCAGCTGAAGAGTAAATGAATAGGTTTTACACTGCCACAGGACGAAATAAGACCTGGGACCCTTTATTTGGTATATTGCTTATTGTTACTGCAAACGTCCAACAAAATGTATCCGATATCAAGGTCCTGGGCATGAAGACATAGACAAGAATGAATTTCGTTAGCTCCTGAACTGATATTTTAGACCAGGCCTGTCAAAATGTTAGACACAGGCTTCAAGCAGTATGTATGCCATCTGTTTAAAAAAAAAAAAACTGGTCGGCTACAGTACATGGCTGCCAGATGGAACACCTGTGTGAGAAGCCTGCTTTTAGACAACAACAAAATAGAAATATTTAGAATGCCTAAACAGAAGCTATCTTCATTGCATTCTAATTGGGAGGTTTGTTTGTTTTCAAAATGGCTGGGAAAAGACACTTGATAAAACCTTTCTAAAAATTATGGTTTGGTTTTAATTTGTATTGCTTATGTTATTGTAATCCACCCCAGAACCTTAAGGTGAAGGTTGGTTAATAAATCTAATAATAATAGCTTGACAAGGAAAACCTTTTTCTGAATTCTTCAGGCTACGGTCAGGATGTTATGAAGAGATTTTTCATTTAGAATTTTTGGTTGACTGCCTTTTTTAAAAAAAATGTGGCTGCATTGTTTGACATGATATTAAATGCTTTATTATTGAGCTTTCTAAACTATCATTTCTTAATGGAAACACATAAATTACTGGCCAGCTATCATAGATTTGTAGTAATTTATTAACGCTTCTGAACATTTTATTTTTTATTTTTTTGCGATTTACAATGTAATTCTTAAATCTCAAATATTAAGAACAGGTTAATATCTCTCATTAATTTGTTGTCTGATGTATTCCTGGAGTTTATGTTTATAAATTCAGGTCTTTCATGTTGTACAAGCTGCAGTTTGCTAGTTCTTCTTGCCCTCACATTGTGATAATTAACTTTGAGGACTTCTTTGACTGAGTGAATTTCACCTACACTTAAGGGCTGATTTTTACTTCCCATGCACACTTCTTTGCAATTTTTAGAGTTAATACGTTCTTGATTTGGGGAGGTGCAGAGTGATAGACATTGGGACTTTCTTCAGTGCATACTGCAATGAGGGACAGGGAACCTGTGGCTCTGGAAATGTAGTATACAGCTCCCACCATCCCTGACAGTTGAGCATAATGGTATTTTGAGTCAAAATGTCTGGAGGGCCACAAGTTCCCCATTCCCACTGAAAGAAATAGGACAAACTTTCACATACATACTTTTCTACATCTCATTTTTTTGCCAATTACTTTTTATTGCTTTTCAAACAAATTAACAAATTAACATCAAATTAATTCAAATTTAATGTAAAAGTTGATTCCCACCCTGCTTCCATGATATGATGTTTCTCTTCCCTCCCTACATCTACTTTTTTGTTGTTGTTCTGGCATGTGTTAAAATGTTCTTGTTGGTTGGGTCAACCAATTTAACATTGTCATCCCTTCTCTATCTTTCTTGTGAGTCTTTTTCAGGCTTCCTCAACCTCAGCCCTCCAGATGTTTTTGGCCTACAACTCCCAGGACCAGTGGTCAGGGATGATGGGTATTGTAGGCCAAAAACATCTGGAGGGCTGAGGTTGAGGAAGCCTAGTTTTTGTATTTGTTCATTACTTATAGAATAGGGAGCAGCCAAGTTATGCAAATAAACAACCTAACCTGCAACCAGATATTGCCAAGGTGTGCTCCTCTGGGAAGAGTGTGAGACAAGACTAAAAAAAAGTAGGAAGAAGGGTATCTGCATCTACTTCACAACGGTTGTCTCTCAATACATTGTTTGGAATCCGGTAATACTGGATTTGTACTTTTCATGAAAGTAGCAACAGAGGAGGAATAAAGGACTTCTTCTTCATCATCCCCTGCAACCAGGTCTCAGTCAAAGAGGAAGAGAAGGTTGTTTGTACCCATATCCAAGAGATGTGTAATTCTTGCCTTTGTGCAAAACCTGGAAAACTGGGAACAGTGATCAAAGGGAACATGAGTAACCCATGCTTTCATGGTGATATTGAGCTATCACCAAACATCTATCCGAATAGGCCATGCAACAATGAATTTACCAGGGCTTACTGTAAGGTTGCAGACTTGGCATGTAACTTTGCATTCTGATTTCAGTATGCCTGAGTGGTGATTAAGTCGCTAGACTCTGCCCTTCTAACACACAATGTGAAAGTAAACTTTGTCTGGGACTCACTTCTACATAATCATCCTTGTCCAACAACTCTGGTGTATTCCAAGTGGTCATATATACATCACAGAGTTTTGGGTCAAGGGAATGAGTTTTTCAGGAATGGGACAGGGGAGATTTATTCTGCAACTTAATTTTGTAAAAAATAAATTAGTGTGTTAGGCTTTTCATGAACGATCTGTTCTCATAAAGTGACAGAGGATCCTCAACTGCTGTGATGGTGGCAATGTACCAAGTTAGGTGAGACACAGGCCCCAATCCAATAGAAGTTAGCTGGGCTGAAATCCCATTGGAATCAACAGAACTTGACTTCAGCATGACTAACATGCCTCATTAATGCTAATGGGAATTAAGTGCAAATAACTTTAGTTGTTCAGGGCCAGAGGCTGAAACCTCTCAACTAATAATCATTTATTGTTGTCTGTATTCTCCTATAGTAACATGTGCAAAATAACTTCTTAAGCTCTATCACTATGTCTCCAGATTAAAGAGAGATGTTTAAATTAAAATATTTATGGTAACTGACAGATCATTTAACAGGTCTTTTTTATCTAGACGACTGCCTCGTAACTTAACTTAATTAACATTCAGTTGCATAGAAATGTACATGGGCAGTAATTACAGTTGCGCTATATGTGTTTTTGAAAATAAAGTGAAGTTGAAGAAATAAAGAATCCTGCCTTTTTGTTATTACAGTGTGGAATGTTCATGTTCAAGGTCCCAGTCAGTCCACCATAACTTCCTCGAGGATACTGCAGTCATCTTCCCTGCCCTAAACAACATGCCTTCAGCATTCTATGACCACTTTTTGGCCCCTTAAACATCATCATCATCATCATCATCATCATCATCATCATCATTATTAACATTTGAGCATGCTGATATTTGTATTTTGGGCATGGGTAATGTCCTTTTGGTGCATAAGGATCAGCACTTGCTTTCATTCATAGTCTCACCTCAAAACCGATATTGTAGAGCTAGAAAGGGTTCAGAAAGGATCAAGGAGAAATACCAAAGGGATGAAACAGCTCCCCTATGAGAAGAAGGATACAGCATCTGTGGCTTTTCCATTTAGAGAAAAGGTTAATAAGGATTTTGGAAAGCAAAAATAAAGTAAATCATCAAACCATCAATTCTAGTATGCAGGGCGCCACCTAAATTGTATAATTTGGCATCTCAATGATTGGTATTATTAATTATATTATAATTTGGCATTGTTATAATGAGGCTATTGTTGGATTGTTGTAATTGAAAACTAATAAAAATTATTATAAAAAGGGAGAAAAGGTTAATAAGAGGCGGCATGAGTTTATACAATTTTGTAAGACACAGAGAAAGTTTTTAGAGGGAAGTTGTTCTCCCTCTCTCATAACACTAGAATGTATGGATGTCCAATGAAGCTGGACATGACTACTCCCATGATGGCTGTTTTCTAGGCCTCCATGCAGTTATTTGAAATATAAATATGTGTAGATTGATTTCAATAGGAGCTACTATTCACATGCTTTACTTTCCTACTGAAATAAATCGAACTTTTTAAAGCAGAAGGTAAACACATCTCGCCCTCTCTCATCTGTGTTTCATGAATGAATTTGATCTCTGCCAACTTTGAAATGAGAATATACAAGCAAAAATATATATTTATATTTTAGAATAATGCTTAATGTGATTAAGTTGTTTAAGGCATTACCACACTTTTGTAATTGAAACATCTTCAAATCTATACATTAATTCAAATACAGGATTACATGAAGGATCAATAGTCAGTTTAATTCTGTAGCCCTTTGACAAGATTAACCCATGTAGTTTACATAATATGCTACCTGGCTACTTTTAGCCAGGCTGCTGCTTTCTCTGGTTCACTTATCATTCAGTAGTCTGAGCTAAGAAGATTTGTTAATACAACACTTAAAATATTGACGATGAAAATTGTTTATGTGCTGGAGGCAGGTCTCTCTGAAGTACTTTGTTTTTGTTTAGACGCAGGACAAACTGGTTATTTTACTATGGGTGCAGATGTTGTATTCATAGCTGAGTACTTTACTAAGGAAGAGCACTGAGTCATTGCAAGTTGTAAAAGACAAGCCTATCAGCACATCTTCATAATAAATGGAGTTCATTTTGTAACAGGAAGAAAGGAGCAAGGAAAAGAAGCCTCTAAAAAAAAAAAGGTGCAGAGATGGAATAAAGAAATAACTAATCATTATGTGTGTTTATATGTGTTCATGCACCCAGCTGGAGAGAAAACATGGGCATATCTTGTGAACAGCATACCCAGGCTATTCATCATACAATTCAAGTACGCCCCCCCCAAAAAAAAGAAAGAACCCTGAGAACTATAGCTTGTTAAGGATGTTGGGAATTTGCCATTGAGGGGCAAACTATAGTTCCCAGGATTCACTGGGGGGAAACAACGCTTTAAATGTATGGTGTGTAAGCAGCCATAGTTTCACAAGTCTGAGTGGACTTTGGGCCTATGTTCTAACAGAAGTTCCACATGTCACATTGCAAATTATATTGAATAGGAAGGGGCTTCCAAAAGCACTGTGGCAAACTATTTAAAGAAAATAAATTAAACAAAATCCCACTGGATATTCCTAAGGCTTTAAGGTGACTGAAAATAGATCATTCATTCTGGCCCTTACTGTTACATCTCTTAGGTCAGGGTTGGCCGGCTTTGAAGTGTGCAGGATTTAATATGTTTTTTTCTTACTTGAACCCCAAGATCCACCGAGTCAGGTGCAACATGATGAGCCTATTTTGCACTAGTGCTCAGTACAAGAGTCTTCTCACACAGCAATCCATTTTTGTTTTTTCTCATTTTGACAGCCTTGATTTATGGTGGGAGGGGAGCCTTGTCATTGCTGTTGTTAAACAATTGGGAGTCAATAGGTACTTGATGAACTACTGCAGATTGCTCTGAGATCTGCTAGGAGATCTCAACCTTCCTTTAAACTACCCATGTCTTCTACAGGGAAGGGTTGTAACTCAGTTGCAGTAACTTAGTTACATTCTTTGCATGTGAAAGGTGCCCAGTTTAATCCCTGGCATCTCAAGGTAGCGCTGGGAGCTACCTTACAGCGCTGGGAGCTGTCTGTAAGCCTAGTAGCACTGCCAATCATTGTAGACAGTACTGTCCTAAATGAACCAATGGTCTGACTAGTTGTAAGACAGCTTCCTACATTCCTAGAAGTCACCTTCATTGCAACCAAAATGATGAAGGGCATGGAAAACTCCCCAATGAGGAAAGCTTATAATGTTTGGGGCGTTTCAGTTCAGAGAAAAGGTGAGTAAGAAGAGATATGAAGTGTATAAAATAGTGCCTGTTGTGGAGAAAGTGAGCAGATAAAAACTTTTCTCCCTCAGCAACATCCAATGAAGTTGAATGTTGGAAGATTAATGACAGATAAAATAAAGTACTTTTTGACATGGAGCTTCATTACCTATGGTAGTCACTCCTACAAGAAGTAGTGATAGCCACCAACTTGCATGGCTTTAAGAGA